ACCCGATCGGGTAAAACGCGGATATGGTGTAAAATATAGTTTTCGGCTCATTAAAAGGCATATCCGCGTTTTACCCGATCGGGTAAAACGCTGATATGTGGCAAAATATACTTTTCGGCTCTTTCAGAGGCATATCCGCGTTTTACCCGATCGGGTAAAACGCGGATAGGATTTTACCCGATCCAGTAAGTACATTCGTGTTCCGGCGACTTCCAAGTAATTTTGGATGTGGATAAAATACTGACTCGGACTGGCGAACTCGCGGACTGACGGACTGGCGGACTCGATTTTTCTCAATTTTTTTATCACTGCGTTTTGTTGATCTCGTGAAAATTTTACAATGAGCATCGGGCGTGCTTTACGCGAATTATACAAAATACGTACTGGAAATGAGTGAAGCGCTTTTAGAACTATTGAACATTTGGAAGAATTTATTTAAAAATACTATAATCAACATTCCAATAACAAACTTTTTATGAACAATTCCCAACAGAAAATATGTGTCAATTATTATTTAAGAGCGGAATATAATTGTACAGAATATATATATATATATATATATATATATATATATATATATATATATATATATATATATATATATATATATATATATATATATATATATATACATGTGAGAACGTCTGATTGGTTGATGGATTTCAGTATGTTGGTTGCCATTAGTTACTATCGAATGCGGGTGATTATTGTTATCATGAGACGGTATAGGGAAGGAAGTTGAGGGTGGGTTAAAGGTTAATGAAGATGAATTAGGAGATTTGTGAGAGCGTTTCAGTTGTAAGTAAATTGTAGGGATGTCAATGTGACGGTTAAATGTTTGTTTGTCTAAACTATGCCACGCTTCTTTTAAGTTTAAAGAAGCGTGGCATAGTTTAGACAAACAAACATTTAACCGTCACATTGACATCCCTACAATTTATTCATTGACATCCTTATAATTTATTCATGCAACAAGCAATCATCAGGCAACATATTAATACGGTTAAGTTGTTGCGTTTTACTACTCGCAATGTTTGCTGACGCGTGTTCGTTTGAATCGTCCCGCGTGGAATCTGCGCGCATGCACGCATTTCATGAAAATTTCGCTACGTTTATTTAAATTAGACCGAGAATTATAACTACGGAGTATTTGCAATTTCTCTTCTAAACATAAATTGCAATTAATTCCACCGGCTTTGATTGAACTTGCTCGGGATAAGATGGACCACTTGATATTAAATTGTTTTCTATTTAGTTTTAGTTTCCATACATGTTTAGAAAGTTCATTAGGCCGTGTTATTAAATACAAGTGTATTTAATATCATTGAATGATTTCTTGTGATTTCTGTATCTCTCCTTAAATGTTCTCAGGTATGTTAATGACTGGGTCAAGTTTCACAGTGAGCATTAATTCATGAAAAATAAAAGAAAAATTATTTACAACGATTTTAAGATAAATTGACAGGGTTTTGGGCGTTAATGGTACTCAACATAATTTTAGAATTTTTTTAACCGACCAAAAATTTTAAAAAACGTGTCACGTGACCAGTTGTTGGTCTAAAAATAGCAACAAAAACATGGAACTTTTTCAACCGCTTTGCGGGGAATGATTGAGCTGGTTCTCACTGAAACATTCAATTACAAATAGATTGCCAAGGAACTCGTCTAACACATTCAAACTTGGATCCGTGAAAATGTTGTGTTATTGTTGCGTAAAATGGATCCAAAGTCAAAACACGCGTTTCTACTCGCATATTTTCGATAATTAAAGCTACTTCTAATCTAAATCTTTTCGGTTTACGGTATTTCTCAAGAACTTGGACATATTTTGAAGATAATTAGCGCCTAAGCCTTTAATGGTTGATAATAAAAACCTTCCCTGCAAAGCCATTGAAATTTAACATTCGGCCGAGTAAATAAATTGTAAAAACCGCCATTTTTGACGAGTGAGCCCTGATTCTACACACAGCGGTCTCCCGCATAGCCATGCAACAAAGAACGCTCAAAATGGCGATCATAATAACTCGAAGAGCATAAAGACATGTTTCCAGATATATTTTGCTTTGCGCAAGGTTAAAACCGGCAATTGTAATCCACAAAATTACACACATACCATTGTTTTTATATACAAGTGAATGTCGAACGCACAGAACCATTTGTGACCAAATTATCTACACAACTTCGCATTTTAATAATACCGCAACATGCTTTGATTTATATAATACTACAAATCTAAAAGGCTATTAGTCTACTAAGCATTAATTTCGGAGACAATATTGCACAGGATAAATCTTGAATGCTATAATGAAACAAGAGCCTTATTTATCAGTAATTTAAGATTATAATCTGTCAAAATTAGACGCGCTCAAAATATTGTAGCTAATGTAAGTAAACAGACAGTACAGATAAAGTGTACACGCGGAGAATACAGGTCTTCTGCAATTTTTGACAATGTTGGCCTCAAGTCCTTGTTAAAATCGGTAACGTTTTTAGCTTTAGGAACAGGTGGCACATCTGCTATTTTCCATACCCTCGGCACCTTGCATTCACGGAAGGATGCGTTAAATATATCAGTAATTGCAGGTGCCAGAATGTCAGAAAAGCTCTTTAGAACCCAATTGGGGAGTTCATCAGGACCGCTAGCTTTGGAAACACTGATTGCACGTAGTAGCCGCTCCACTGTTGTTTCTGAGACGCTAATTGGTTCATCATTGTCAGTCGATAGGTTAAAATCTTTAGGCAGCGGGGGGAAATCTTTCATGACACTGATAAAGGCCTCGTTAATCCTATTTCCTAAACCTTCATCACTGTCCTCAACGTCAAATCTAATCATGGATCTGAGGTCTGGCTGTGTTGATTGCTGACCACTGAGCTGTTTTATCTCTCGTCACCAGTCTTTAGGTTTCGAATCCAGAAGGTTGCCAACTTTTTTCTTATAGTATACTTTACGACAACGTTTTCTTTCCCGATTTACTTTGTTTCGCAGCAATTTAAACATAAAATTGTTACCTAAGGCAAATGCTTTTTGTCTTTGTAAAATAAGGCGTTTCAAATGGCTAGTCATCCACGGACGATCATTTGGGCTTACTTTAATTGATCTTTCTGGCATTATGGTATTTAAACCATAATTTATTATTTCTATAAATGTTGTTAGTTTGTCATCAGAAGATCGCAGAGATGACAATATATTTTCCCACGGGATATTTAAAAGGAAACGGCCAAGGCTTGCAACATTGCTTGGTCTTTTATCCCGTACTTTTATAGTCGTTTTTTGGCGTCGTAAATTGACACGTTTCGCTGGAATCATAGTGATCGTGACATGGTCAGATAAGCCAAACGGTGGACCACTTTCTGCTGGATTATAAAAGTTTTTAAGATTGGTAAAAATCTGATCAAGAGTATTAATTCCTCGAGTAGGGAAATTTATAGCAGGTTTTAAGTTAAAAAGTTTCGCAGTTGATTTAAAATCGAGTTGATTAAAATCACCAGCCAGAACTATGCCACTATTTGGATAATGTGTTTCAATTATTTCCAGTGATGATTTAAGGTGTTCCTTCATTGCTGTGTTATTCGCCCCTGGAGGGTGATAAAGCACACCTGCAATAATATTTGAAAAACCTCGAGGTAAACGTTTAGGTCGTAGTATACACCACAGAACTTCATAATCATCCTTATGTAGTAGGGACAAAGTTTTACTCTCAATAGTGTTCTTCACATATAAGCACACACCGCCATGCTGCTTATTTTTGCGATCTAATCTAAATAGTTGATAACCAGAAATAGCAATTGGGTCATCTGCGATTGAATCTTTCAACCATGTTTCAGTAAAGAAGCCTACTTGAATATCTTTCTGTTGTATAGTAAACGCTATTTCATCAATTTTTGGGGCCAGTGACATCGTATTCGAGAGTAATAGTGTTGGAACAAATTGAGAATTATCGTTGGGTTTCACTTGACTCTTATTCGTATTTGTTGTATGTTTGGTGAGTGGAACAGTTATTAAATTTCTAAATGTGCGTATAGGGGGGAGGTCGCGTGACTCAATAAACGGGGGGTCGTAGGTGAAGGGGGTAGGTTGGTTGATGTACTACACGAGGTGAATATATTGGGATGTCCATTAAGGGTTTTGGCCACGGGTAGGTTGACCATGGTGTCATGGGGTAGTTTGGGGGGACTTGCCAGTTGTAATTTGGGGTCATTTTCCTTTGCTTGTAGGATAAAAAAGGACTAGGATAGTTCATGTTAGGCCTTTGAGTCGACGGAATATTTAAGGTATCACTATGTGAAAAATCGCATTGGTCTCCTTTCAAGCAAAACCCTCTCCTTTGTAGAAAGGGGCAACGTATTCTGTATTTAGGCATATTATCTCATGGCTTTTTTGGGTGCAGATGTTGTGGGTGTTTCAAATCACAGTTTTGCTTCTTAATACACCAGCCCCGCCTCGAGAGAAAAGGGCAAGGAATAGTGCTTTTAGGAATCTGCTCATTAAGGCCTGATTCCACGAGCGCTTTTTCTTGGCGAAATGCGAAATATTTCGCCTGTTTCTTTTGAATTTCGACCACTCGAATAAATTATTTCTACTTGATTGCTCACAATTCAAAAGAAACAGGCGAAATATTTCGCATTTCGCCAAGAAAAAGCGCTCGTGGAATCAGGCCTTTAGACGGCTGTGTTTGCAATCTTGAAATAGGTATTCTATTTCTACGTGCATTAATAATTCCTTGTTGTTTACTCGGGGGTGCATCTTTGGTGTATGACAATAAGGGGCTCGTTAATTGATCTACAATTACAGTGGCGTTTGTCAAATTATCATGTCGATCTTCACCATTGGACGAAGGAATTTCAATAATAGTTGAGCTTAACTGATTCTTATTCATAATAGTAGCCCAGGTGACTCGTTGGTAGAACCAAATGAATCATCCATTGTATTGAATACAGTCATTATTATCTTGGCTAGGGTCTTTGTTCTTAGAGTTGTTAGGAATTTCATTAGATAATTAATTAATCCACGATCTTTGTTCGCAAGGTCGTTTTGGGCTCCACCGCGCTCAAGGGATAATAATTTTGTCTTTATGTATTGGAATTCTCTATCCAATTCGACCAATTCAATTATTTTATTATGTTGCTCATTTTGCATGGGGTTTTCATTTTGTGTGCTTTCGCAATGCGTTGCCGTTTGGTTTGAGACTTCAGAGGACTGTTCCGGTTCGTAAATATTTCCTAAGCGCTTAGCTTCCATTATTAATTGCCGTTTGTCCTCGTTTACGAGACGCACTGAGGTTACTAAGCTAGCTTTCTCCTCTTCAAGTATTTTAATTTTTGTATTTAAATCAGAGGTAATATAGACTAAGTTGTTCATGCGTTCAAGGTATTCGGCGTTTTCTTTCTTAAGAATTGCATTTTCAGAGCAAATAAGTTCGTATTCTCTTCTAAGTGTGTGTAGTTCGATATATGCAGTATCATTCGATGAGGATTGACATACGGTTTCAAGGTTAGCTATGGAAGTTTTGTTTTGTTCCATAACACCCTTAAGCTGTTGAATTTGAAGCTTGAAATCATTAATCGCTTCAACAAATTTATCGTTATTAAATATAAGTAAATTTATCGTAATTTATCGTTATGTTTCTCTCTCATTGAAGCTTGAGTTTGATTGTTTTAGACTGTAGATGTCCTGCTCGATCTGTTTAGCTCTTGATCCTTCAAACAGCAAGGTTTTCTTACTCTGGTACCATTTAATTTTGACAATCTCACCCTCACTGGAAACTTCTTTCTCGTTAGTAAACAGTTTCACCTCGCCGCCAGGGGAAGACCATTTTCCAGATAGGTTTAATTCGTTCGCGATAAAACACTTAAGCGGTTCAAGGTCACCTTTCCACTTAAGTTTAGAGTCTTCTATACTGAAGTTCTTATAGTTATTATGATCCATAGTGAAATACCAGCGTCAGGCTCACTTAAATATATAAAAAACTGCGGAGCTCGAAAATACACCTCCGACGTGGCTGGCACAGAAGCCCTGGGTACCTTCGTTAACGTCGGCTCCCTTCTTTTAGCCGATTCTTCGCCCTTTCTTTATGAGAAAACTTTTGAAATTTACAAAATGTTGCAAAAATGCGAGCAAAAAATTCATCAATCATCAAATCAAGAAATATTTGCTATTTCGCTGTCGTCATGCAGTCGTTATAATGCAAACTTTAAACTGGACGAATCAGTGTCCGCTATTCATGACAGTCCGTCATGTTTCTGAGATCAGTGAGGATGACCACCCATGGTTGGTCACCCACGCCCGCGATAATTGATAAACTTTAGACTTCCCTTTCGTTTCCCATACACATGTAAATAGCCGGGGGGGAATTAGTACCCTCGCACGGCGCTTCGCGCCGTCAGCTCGGGGATAATAGCATTCTTGTATTTAATAATATTATAGCATTCTTATACTTAATAATCGATCAACAGTAACACAACTTGTCGAGGTCTATGGTGATATTGTAAACTCTGTCGCAAGGGGAAAGGAGGTAGATGTGTTGTATCTTGATCTAACCAAAGCATTTGACAAAGTGCCTCATCATTTGTTACTCTTGAAACTTCAGTTGCATGGCATCACAGGTCCACTATTGTTAATGATGCAGAGTTATCTTTCTGATCGAAAACAGAGGGTTGTCCTGGAGGGTGCCTCTTCTGATTAGCTACCAGTAACATCAGGCGTGCCACAGGGCTCCATTCTAGGACCTTTGTTGTTTTTGGTTTATGTGAATGATGTACCAAGTTGCATTATTAATAACTCGAATATAGCACTTTTCGCTGATGACTCAAAGTTGTATCGGGCGATTGACATAAATTATGACCATAACTAATTCAAGCCAATTTAGACTGTCTACATACATGGTGCCTCAGTTCAGGATTAGATTTCAATGCGCGGAAATGCAAAGTATTGCATATTTCAAAGAAAAGGCTAACTCGGGAAATGAATAGAAATTACAGTCTTGGTGACCAAACGATTGAGTGTGTGCCTTCATTGGTCGACCTCGGGATTACTATATCTCACAATTTATCCCATATTAAGAAAATTGTTGTTAAAGCTAACAGGACCCTTGGGCTAATGAAAAGGATTTTCCGTGATTTGCAAGATATACAAACTAGAAAAATAATATACTGTGCTCTTGTACGACCCAAGCTGGAATATGGTAGGAGTCTTTGGTCGCCTTACACCAAGAAATGCGCGAAATTAATTGAAAATGTCCAGAGAAGAGCTACCAAGTTTATTCTAAACTATCCTGAAGATATGAAGTATATTGATAGATTGATCAAACTAAACTTATTGCCTTTAGAACACCGTAGACAAATTTCAGACTTAATATTTTTTTTTAAATCGAGAAATGGCTTGGTAACCACCGACATTAATAAATTTTTGACAGTGTTTGAGCCCGGGTATCGAACACGTAATTATGATATAAATAGCTTAATCTAATTATAAAGCATAAGCAAGATTATTACAGGAAATCTTACTTCATAAGAACAGCCGAACTCTGGAACACTTTGCCATCTCAGGTGAAACAGTGCGAATCCATTCGAACATTCAAGACTGCCATTTATAACTTTTATTCATCTAAAGGCCCGTTTACACGACACTAATTTTTGGCACGGCACTAAAATTTAGGTACCCGGACCTGTTTTTTTAAGCACGGCACCCCTGATATTTGTTGCGTAAACAGAAGGTGGGCCCAAAATTATAGGTCCGCGTACACAAAATTTTAAGCGGGCCGAGACCACCGAAATAGGTGGTCTCGGCCCGTCAAACTAATCGGCACCGTGCCCAAATTTTTGCTTTCTCAGCAGTTTGTAAATTTTATCCCGATAAAATTGAGGCGAGAACAAATGAACGGTTCTATGGCGAGAAAAATTAAAGCGGAAACAAATTGGCGGTTGCTGGCGGTAATAAACATCTATGAAATAAACGAGCATGGCGGCGAGAAAATCCAGAGGTAAAGTGTGGAACGATGAGGAAACAAGAGCCCTTATTACTTTATGGTGCGATGAGACGATACAAGTCGCCTTGGACAATTCGAAAAGTTCCAAGGACACGAGTAAAGTATACAAAACGTTGCTAGTAAGTATCATATCGTAGATGTTTTGTTAGTCAGTATAATTTACAAGTTAGTCAGCATATACATGATCACTTTTTAAACTGTCACTCTTCTGAAATATTTGTGGTTGGTTTATAGAGTCAGTTGCAGGAAAGAGGATACAAGGATATCTCTTTGAAAGAGGTAGTTAATAAAATGAAGAAACTTCGACAAAAATATAAAGCTGAAAAGGATAATGCTAGAAAAAGTGGAAACAACAGGAAAAAACCATGGAAGTATTTTGAACAATTGGACCGATTTCTCTCACAAAAACACAATGTTACCCCAGCAGCTCTTCTTGATACAATGGATGCCTGTCAAGAAGATGATGAGCTTAATTTGCAGAAAAATGTTGCAGACAATCATAGTGAAAATGATCATACAGTTGGTATGAATTTTGGTAAACATGTATATATATATATATATATATATATATATATATATATATATATATATATATATATATATATATATATATATATATATATACAGGGTGTATTAAAAAAAAGTTGACCCTTTGAAATTCAGATTGTATTATTTGACAACTCTAATCTTGTCCCATGAGTACAAGCCTTGTGTTCTTATGCATTCATTAATTCGAGCTGTCAAATTAATACATTAGCTTGTCACTAATTTGAATTTGAAAGGGTATACTTTTTTTTGATACACCCTGTGCACATATATATATATATATATATAGTGTTTTAGTGCAGACAGCAATCGTCAGACAGCATGTTATATTTATAAAAAGTACAAAGTTCCCCAGATCAAATAAATTTTTATTAAAAATGCATTTTTAATATTATTTATTTTTATTTATTTATTTTTGTATTTAAAATTTATTTGATCCGGAGAACTTTGTACTTTTTATTGATTAACATAATATATATGCCTATATACAAAACGTATAACAATATATATCAATTATATCAATATATATTTGTATAATGTTGTGACAATGACAGTATACTTCAAAGAAACAAGTTAAACTTTATTTTAGGACTTTGGAGTTTTTTATTTTCTCTATAGTTGACACTCTCAAGAGAAAATATGGCGAAGGTGAAAACTCCTTAAGGAAGTGCGAGACATGTGATTATGAACAAGTTATTTATAGTGGTGGAGTACATGAGACAGAAGATGGTTGTGTAAGGGTATATGCAGAAGAAGACAAATTTTTATTTCCTAATTGTCAATGTGATAATGACAATGGAACCTCTAATAATTTAGGTGATCATTAGGAAACAGATTTTAATCACAATTAACAAATTCAAAATAATTAGTTGTGCTTTGTACACAAAATGGAGTTGCTTCTGGTATAATAATATATTTCGGTTGATAGCATAAATTCCTCTATTTAGCCCTTCTTCTAATAAGCCTCCAGGATTGCCCGTATTGATATAGGGAAAATATTGATATAGGGAAATATTTTGTGTATTTTAGTAGATTCACATACCCAAGTTCTTAGGGTGAAAATTTCCCACTCTTTATTTAGCCCCCTATCAAATAAAGATAGCAAATAAAAATAAGCCCTTAAGGGGGAAGGGTGAGGGGGGGGGGGGATTCAGGATACAGAATATAATATGTAGTATTTTTTTAGAAGAGAAAGATCTCAACCAAAATGAAGAAATTGGCAAACAGCATGGAGAATTAACAAATCAAAATCCAGGCATGAACCAAAAACCTGAAGTTAACCAAAAACCTCAAAATGACCAAGAAGCCGAATATGGTGGACAACATGGTAAAGCTACAGGTTGCGAAAAGTTGGAAATAGGAAAAAGGAAAAAAAGAAAAACATCTGTGGAAAAAAGCATCGAGATGGTTATGGAACAGTTCAAAACTGTGACTAAAGATGAATTTGAAAGGTATCACTGATTTCGAATAATTTATTAGCCCAAAGAAGTTCAAATAAGTGGGTATCCAATTTCTCATTGGTTAAACCTAGGGATGTACTGTAGGGTATAGGCATGAATGGCAGAGATGGATCTATGGCTAGTGCAATAATTGCATATACATTTATTTGTCATGTCCATAGGCGTACAAGGCAGGTGGGGCAGCTGCCCCCTGAATGTTTTCAAACTAGGGTAAGTCGAGCAAATATTGAGTGAAAGTCGGGTCAGGCAAATTTTGAATGAAAGTCGGTAAAAAAATGAAAGTTACTTGTTAAAACGTTAGAAATATATATTTTTCATAACGCTGGAATTCCTAAAACCAGGGGTGGAAAAAATAGGCGAGCACCGCTCGCAGGAAATGTTAGATAACTGCAGGAAATTTGAAAACTCTAACACACAAATTCCACTATGGAAGCAAAAGCTTATAGTTGTCAGACATCTTTACTTAAATTTTCTGCTAGGGTACTACATTTAAACACAGGGTTAGCACAGAATCATTTGGTTGGTCTGCAGGAATTCTTTATCCCCAGGTTGTGCTCCCAGGAAGAAAATTATTTTTTCCTGCCCTGCCTAAAACAATGTAACGATGGCAAGGAGAAAATAACTGCAAGCCTTTTCTTGTATTTGGTCGTGAAAAAATAAAGGCAGAATTATGTAGTAAAAGTCACTGCCCCCAAAAAACTTGGGCGCTTGTATGCCTATGGTCATGTCTGACAAATTCTTTTGAAATCAAATATAAAATTATAAATCACATAGATATCAAAAACAACTCGTCAGGTATGACAAGGAAATGAACATACACCTTCCCTTCCACAATTATCGTGCTACATCCATCCTTCATCAGAGTCGGACCCAGCAATTACTTTAACAAGGTATATGGAAAGGCAGATGTCCTAAGAAATGTCAGTCAAACCAGAGAAAGGATATGCAATAATCTGTGCATGTGATACATCAAATATATTCCCTATATTATAGAAATACAAAGCTAGAAGAATCAAGACTTGAAAAGGAACATGCGTTGCAACTGGAACAGATGAGATTAGAGAATGAACGACGTCGAGAAGAAAGAGAGCACGAGTTGAAGATTTTCCAGCTGCTTATGGGAAAACAGGTTCCGGTGGCTCAACCTTTAGCTTTCCCACCAGTCGCATATGCCCAGCACTATGGTACCGGTACAGTGCAACAACAAGCCTTTGGAAGTACAAGTTCGTGCGGAAATGGTAGCTTTTGTGATGAGTCTGATGACAACGAGAAAACTTATTTCAAACTGTAACATTACGAGTATCAAATGTACAGTTTGTGCAGATTTATTGTTATTTATTGTTGATATTTTATTAATTTCGGTTATGTTCAGGAAAAAAACACAATTCCATGTTATTTAAAATCAATACGCAATTTACTGTGCATGTGCTGTCAACTTTACGAAACTTTTTACCAACAATTTTCCTAACCGGGAATTGAAGTATTTAATATATATCTATCTTTTCAACTGAAAAACTGAAACTAATGACTGAAGACATTATGTGGTTATAATATACGGTAATGTCATTAATCTGTTTCATTAAATAAACATGTCCCATTCATATACACTAACCCTACCTTCATATTTTTCTTCCAAAAACTAGTTACGAGTGTTTGTATTTTCTCTGTATACTACTTCGATTCCCGGTCTGACGAATACTATGCATTAAAACATGTTTTGCTATTACTGCACGATATTACATTAAGATTAATCTATTTATTGTCAAACATATAACGATTATGTATTTATGAGGAGTGTTGTGTTTGAAATTTCAGTTCAACTGTAAGTTTATGATAAAAACAAGTTATTGCTGAAAGGTTTTAATCACGATAATCAGTATTTTTGCGCAAAGTAATCAGCAAGTATCGCTCGAATGTCCAGTCCATCCGTTTCTTCACTTTCTTGTATATCTTCCACGTCGTCGTCAGCCGGAACTGCCACTTCGTTTTGCCACTGTGGTAAAAAGTTGTTGTTTTGTGCTTCGCAAATGTTGTGCAAGATGCATGACGCCAACACAACGGTAACTACGTTTTGTACCTCCATGTCAACGCGTTTTCCAAATCTAATGAATCGCCCTTTCCATCTGCCAAACGTGTTCTCCACCGTCATTCTGGCGCGACTTAAGCGATAATTAAACAACCGCTCTTTTCGGGATAAATCACCCTTCGCATAAAAACCTTTCATAAGCCACGATAAAAGTGGATATGCGGGATCGGCCAAAATAACAGGTGATATATCTTCTCCATTAATTTCTCTGGAGAAATTTGAAGGGAAAAGTTTTCCTTCGTTCCCTTTCCTAAATATTGCGGAATTAGAAAAAACGCGAGCGTCATGTACACTTCCTGGCCATCCGACCACAACATCACGAAACAAATAGTTGCTATCAACAACAGCTTGCATTATTATGCTGTGGAAACCTTTCCGATTCACGTATTCTGTACGACTCTCGGTTGGTGCAATTATGGGAATATGGGTGCCGTCAATTGCCCCCGCGCACATAGGAAAGCCCCATCTACTTTCGTAATCATCAATGACCTGCCATAATTGTTGCCCGCGCGGGAATTTGATGAATTTGGACAATCCTTTCGTGATAACGCTACAAACTTCTCTGATACACATACACACAAAAGATCGCGAAACTCCAAAGAGGTTACCAATGGTTTTATACTCGGCCGTAGATGAAACAAAATACAACGTAATTGCAAGTCGTCGCTTTGCCGAAATTGCTTCTCGCATGACAGTGTTCTCATGAATTAAATCGTCTTTTACTGTATTTAAAACGAAGTCGAATGTTTGTCTTGTTACTCTAAAATTAACGTACCATAGTTCATCATCGTATTCGTTGTCTACCATATCGAACCAAACATTAGATCTTGGATGCATCCATTCACTTCTTATACGTGGAGTGTTAATGGCCATTATAACTGCATTTATAAATGCTACATGATATTTTTTTGTCGAATAGCTAGATGACTTAGCTGGAAATTTAATGATTTTCTTCTTTATAGCCTTCGATCCCTGCGGCGCTTAAACCAAGCCAAAAGAACTCGAATTTTGCTTTCCCTGTTTAAAGCCGCCATATTTAAAAAAAACCGCGAACAAATAGCGCATGTTTTAATGGCATTTACCGCTGGAAACGATATTGCCGACACGACACTTGAAGTGCCATGCCAATGAATTTGGGGTACTCTTGTAAAATGTTATGGCCCGCTAACTAGTCAAAAAACTGTCGTGTAAACGCAGATACCGTGCCTAAAAAAACAGGTCCGGGTACCTAAATTTTGGAGTGCCGTGCCAAAAATTAGTGTCGTGTAAACGGGGCTTAAGTGTTTGGACTATTGTCCTCCTTAGTATAGTATTACCTACTCGCTTCTTTATAAATTTGACTTTATAATGTATTGTTGTTTCTCCGATATTTTTGGAGTTTTATGTAAAGGGGTTCTGTTGCAATTGGGACGCAAGTCCTGTTCAAACTCCTGCATGTCGTATACTTATAAATAATGATATTATGTAATATATGGCAAATTCATTAAACTAAACTAAACTAAACTAATACATTCACAAAAAAGACGACCGAAGGCTCGCTTCTAACTATATAATATCAAAGTTCTATGAGTGCGACCAATAAAAGTTTAAGAATATGGATGTTTATGTTTACGAGAATGTACAATTAAAATGTTTTTTTCTAAAATCGAATAACACTCTGTTCATCTCTAACATTGTTGTTGTTGCCAACACACAGGGCCGTTCCTAGCGAAATAATTGGGGGTAAGGGTGAATATTCATATATTCGTGTTCTGCCCGACGAATTTCTTTTGAAAGCGATTGTTTTTACGGTATATAAACATGAATATATGCCTCTCCCCCATTATCGCGTCTAGGAGCGGCCCTGCCAACAGAGCAGAGTTGGTTTCTTTTTATATTTTTAGAAAAGACCACAAATTGCAAATTTCAGAAAGATACGGACGTGTGCAACAAACTAAAAATTGATGTATCACTGTTGACATAACGCAACTTTTCCCGATGGTCTCTGTCACGTGAATACTCTCGTTACAGAGGCTTTTTGCGAGGCGAAAGACACGAAAGGCGCGAAGGAAGAGCCCCTGGTGACATCGGTTGCAAATTCCATGCACTTCCACACTTGAATAGGTTCAGCATTTGGATCTTGCATGAAAACGCTATAAATTTGTGAAGTATAGTATCTTTCCAAGATAAACATGCAGACATTCCATGTCGATACTCTCAAATATTTAACATTGTTCTCTAAATGTATATCAGATGCTTTTATGAACATTGCTTTTTTAAATATTATCTTTCACGTGATACCCTGGTTAATTCCAGAGACTCTTTGCGACGCGAAAGAAATGAGAGGCAAGAAGGAAGAGCCTCTGGTCACATCGGTTGCATATCCCACTTCCACACTTGATTCATGGGTTCAGTTTTGTCGCATGTGATTAGCCATTAATAAAAACATGTCAAACCGGTTTGGGAAATAAACATTACATTACTGTAAACTGATTATAGCTATAATTAGCTCGCAGTAATGTTTATTTCCCAACCCGCTTTGACATATTTGTACAAATGGCCAATCACATGCGACAAAACTGATGGAATTTGCAACCGATGTCACCAGGGGCTCTTCCTTCGCGCCTTTCGTGTCTTTCGCCTCGCAAAAAGCCCCTGTAACCAGAGTATTTACGTGACATCGGGAAAAGTTGCGTTATGTCAACAGTGATACATCAATTTTTAGTTTGTTGCACAAGTCCGTATCTTTCTGAAATTTGCAATTTGTGGTCTTTTCTAAAAATATAAAAAGAAACCAACATCTGATATACATTAGAGAACAATGTTAAATATTTGAGAGTATCGACATGGAATGTCTACATGTTTATCTTGGAAAGATACTATACTTCACAAATTTGTAGCGTTTTCAAATTGAATGCAAACTTCATCACATCCAGCCATCGTGTCATCAAAACACATGCAGGAACACTTAAACGAAGAAATCTTTGAAGAGATATCGCTTACTGTCAATAAACGTTTTTCGCTGCAAACTATATTGCGAAAAATGAATATCTTGGAAATGATATAAATAATGCATTAACATTTAAGGACTGATCTACGTACCATATTTGCAATGGAAGCTACTATAAGCTAAAATGTATATGTTATAGCACAGTTAATAGATTCTATTTACTGTTACTGTTATATCTCTATATGACTAGTGTATAGTGTCATTGCTGGATGAGGATGTCTATTTTTGGGCTCCTCAACTTTACTTATTAAGAAAGTATATAGACTATAATTGAATCAATAATTTACTTGGTTAGTCTTTGAACGCATAATCTTTGAACGCGAATAAGGTTATGGCGATATTATTTGGTGAACAGCTTAACTGGTGATTATCAATCACCGAAGAATTTTGTGAGCGACGATCTGCAGCTGGAAGGCGTTTGGTCACAGCCTGGAGGAGATAAAAAGCTATTCACTGGAGATGAAGCAACGATAATTTGGCGAAGGAATAAGAA